TATTTCCTTCGTAACACAATGACCCTACCAAAAGAAGAGAAGAAGGCGATAGCAAAGATCAATCTCCATAAAGACACTAAGAAAACTCTATCATTTCAGGTTCGAATAAAAGATGGGAAAGGAGAAACTTCAAGAAGCGTGCACAAAATTGATTGCTTGACATCTTCCTCTTCTTTACAGGTACGGTATGTTAGCTATTTCATTACCATTCATGTTGAGTTTTAGGTTTTTCCTATTTGTTGATATATATATATATATATATATATATATATATATATATATATATATATATATATATATATATATATATATATATATATATATTTTGTTGTTTTTTAATGTTATATGTTATTGTGACTGAGTGAGATTGATATTGTTTTTGTATTGTTGTAAATGTTATATGTTGTTGTTGTAGTTGTTTCATTCTTATTGTGTTGTTGTATTGAGCTTGTTAACGTGTTGGTAACAATGTTGTTCTTGTATTGTTATATTATGGTATATATTGTCTTTCAATATTATTAAAAAGTAATTTAGTAAGTTGTTGTATTGAGAATGTAGTTGTTGTATTGTTGTATTATTGTATTGCTTTATTGTTAAATGATTTTACAAGCTTTTGATACAAATTTCAGAATGGATTATAGATCGTAGTGTGATGAAAACTGATAGATTAGGTCTGATGTATAAGAAATGAGTTCGTGAATTCCTTGAATTCACATAACAAAAACTTCATGACAATAATGAAGTCTTTTATTGTCCTTGCATTATATGCGGGAATATATAAAAAAATTTAAAAAGTGAAATATTCTATCACCTATGTTGTGATGGAATTTGTCAAAATTATACAATATGGACATGACATGGTGAAGTAGATATAAAACAAACTGGGACGTTACAAAGACATGAAGTTGATGTGGATATGGATGATCGACTAGAAGATATGATCCGTGATATTGGAGAATCTTTTTTTGGGAATCTCATATTTATGATACTTTATGTAGTGACAAGGATGCGTCTAGAGGGCCATTCAGGAATGCACATTTTACGTCCATCAGACATATCGACTAGTTATGCATATTAGCTAGATAGCAATCAAATACTTCATCATAGTGGATTCCTTCTTCCTGAAGAAACCCATTGGCTACAAGTCTTGCCTTGTGTCGAGTTACTTCACCTTTTGGTTTTAGCTGACTTTATATACCCACTTCACATCATTTTCCTTATTTACTTTTGGAAATTCGACTAGTGTCTATGTATCATTGTTTTCTATGGATTTCATCTCATCCACCATATATTCCATCCACCTTGAGTCTTTAAATGTTTCAGTTGCATTGAATGGCTCTGTATTTACATAGAAGGCATAATATACTAACTCACCTTCATCATCGACCACATCATCTGATAAGTCACACATTCCTAAAGTCTTGCAGGCATGTTTCTGCTTCTCTGAGGTCTACTTGTGCTAACTTGAACTTCAGAAGCTTTTTATCAAACTTCTCTAACAGCTTCACTAGCTAGTTCATCACACAGGATTCTCACTGAATTCTTCTTAATGTTCTCAGTCCAATCCCACTCCTTAAGCTCATCTACAATCACGTCCCTACTGATCACAATTTGCTTCTGCACTATTTGAATAGTTTGTATCCACCACTTGAGTGATATCCTACCAGGATCATCTAACTCGACTTATTATCCAACTTTCTTCTCAGCTGATCTGGCACATGTCTATGTGACATGGATCCAAACACCATAAAGTGGCTTAAACTAGGTTTGATATTAGGCCAACATTCCTCTGGTGTGATACCTTCAAGCCTCTTTGTTGGACATTTGTTTACTATGTATGTTTCAATCGACATTGCTTTACCCTATAGCTCATTTGGGAGATGTTTGCATTTTAACATACTTATCACCATATTCATAATGGTTATATTCTTTCTTTCAGCAGTACCATTTTTTTGAGGAGTGTATGGTGGCACCACCTCATGCATATTTCCTTCTTTTTGTACACAGCGTGTCAAAATATTTTGACACGTCCTCTCCATATTCACCTATCCTCATAATCTTAATCTTGTGACCACTTTGTCTTTCCACCATTGCTTTGAACTTGATGAAAACATTGACCGTATCACTTTTCTTCTTGATTAAGTAGGTCCATAACTTTTTGTTGTAATCATCAATAAATGTAATAAAGTACCTATTACCTCCAAGTGAATTTACCTAGAGAGGGCCACACACGTATGAGTAGATTATCTCGAGAGTGGATTTCGACTTTCTTCTTGCATCCTTACTAAAGCTATTCTTATGTTGCTTTGCTTGAATACATTATTAACATACTTCTTCTAGAATATGGATTTTTGGTAGGGCTGAAACCACGTTCTTCCTCTTCAGATTACTAATGTCATAAAAATTCAAGTGACCAAGTCTATAATGCCACAACCATTCATCTCTGCTACCTGCAATCGCCAGGAACTTGTGTTCCAATACATCAAGTTCAATCTTGAAGATGATTAACCTGTTACTTGAGTTGATCTCTTTCGTCATTCTATTTTCGATCAATACTTTATGATTCCTCTCAATCAACTGAACTATACTTAGCTGATTACTCTTCATGCCAGGTATGTAAAACACATTAAAAATTACTAATTGTCTATCATCCTTTCTCCTGATCAGAATATTACCAATACCTTCAGTAAATATGGTTTTTTCGTTTGCAAATTTTACCTTGTTTTTTAACGAGGGCATGATGTTGATAAACCAATATTGTCTTTCAATCATGTGTGATAAACAACCCGAGTCGAGATACCATTGATCTTTGCATCTTTCTTCTTCTTTTGTTGTGACCATTAACATTACTTCATCTTCTTTTGCAAGCTGTGCATCACTTTCACTACTAAAAAATTCGCGTTTAGTGACCGAAAAAGCTTGAAAATCGGTCACTATAACATTTAGCGACCAATAACGCGACTACCAAATTTCGGTTGAAAAAGCGCTAGTCGCTAACCTTTAGAGACGAATTTAGTGACCGATTTTAGCGACTGAAATTAGTGATCGGTTTTAGTAACCATTTTCAAATGTTTAAAAAAATTAAAATAAAACAAAAAAATTGTCTCTAGTAGGAATCGAACTAATCCACTTGATGGTTTCCTCTACCTTTGCCTCCATTCCATTTTCCTTTGCCTTTCTTTTCTTTAGTCATCTGAACTTGCAAAGCCACACCAGTCTTTGATTTGCCTGCTGTTCTTTCAGCCATTCTTTTTTCATGAGATTCAAGCGTCCCTTGGAGCTCTTCTTTTGTCATACTTGACAAATCCCTCGATTCTTCTATGGCTGCTACCACATGATAGAACTTTAGATGTAACGACCTCAAAATCTTTGACACTACAAATTTTGATGTCAACACTTCTCCACATATTTTGATTTGATTCACTAGTTTCATTACTCTGGTGAAGAATTCAGTCACATTTTCATTATCTTTCATTTGAAGCATTTCATACATTCTTTTGTATGTTTGTAACCTCACCTCCGTCACTTTCTTAGCGCCTCCAAATGATCTCTCTAGAATGTCTCATGCTTCCTTCACTGAAACTACATCACACCTTCTCGAAATTATCTACTTAACACATTGATGGATTATAAAATATGCTTTATAATCTTTCATCTTCAGTTCTTTGTATACAACGTTCTCTTCATTCGTTGCATTATCGTTGATTGATGCTACACCATTCTTGATGAGATCCCATAATTCTTGGTAGCAAAACACTACCTTCAAATGCTTGCACCCATTTTCGTAGTTCTTGCAATTCAAAATGGGGAGATTTGCCAGAAAATATCCATTCGGATGATTCATCGTGATTTAATGTGTCTCAAAGATCACATAGATAGTTCTCTAGATACTAGATGTTGGAAAATCTCCAATTTTGAAGTTAATTGAATCAATCTTGATGAACAAAAGTCAATCTTTCTGATTGTTCACCCCCTTCTTCTTCACCATTTACTTAGGTGAAACAACGACTCTTTGGTTAAAAGACGATTCTGCACTAGAGAGTTGAAAGATAAAAACGAGACAATTGAAATGAGAGAAAAGAGAAATTCTAGAGGGAGAAGAATAAAACTGTATTGCTGTACAAACTGCACTCAAAATATTTATTACAATGTGTGTTAATCACAACTGTGATTTGTGAAAACTACACAATATTATTACAAAACTTCTTATTAATGAAATATAATTCCTCTCTATTTATAATGTGATTACTCGTACTGTAAGTAATCACAAAATAACTAATTCAATTAAAATAAGTTAAGTTAGTCAACTTCGACTCTATCGAGATTAACTCCTTCGACCAAACTAAAACACTCTTCGACATCCGCCGAATATTATTAGGCTTGGCACAAGAAATTATATATTTAATATTTAACACTTATGTCGGTTGACTTTTTTTTATTTTGTTGTGGGCTTTCACCTTTCTTTAATTGCATATTATCTTATCATTAAAAAATAATCGAAACAAATCTCTAATATGAAATTTAACAACTCTAAGAAGGAACAAGGTAAGTACAGATCATGCAAACCATAAAACAGAAAGGTTGTACTAATTTTATATATTGAGAATTATACTAATTTTATAGAATGAGAATGATACAAAAAGGAATTGGACACACATAACCTTAGGATACATTAGGTTCAAAACAGTTAACGAAATAGAATCTTAATCTGAATGAGCTTGACAGGTTTGAAACTTCTTGGGTGGATACCTGTCTACAGTTGTCCGACAAGAATAATGTCATTGTCATATTCATATAAAATAAGTTGCTAGAATGTAAACTCAAAGTGCTTATTTCCCACTTGAGATGGAATCTTTATGAATATGTGTATCCAATTCCATTTTGGCATTACCTTGTCTTGTTTGGTATAAATACACTACTAATGCTACTATTTTTCATATCAATAAAACAAGACTACTCTCAATTCTTACAGGTTTCAAATCAAAATATTTCTTAAAAAAATGGAAGCTGCCCAATTGGTTTGTGAAGAATGGGATTCTCTTAGTGGACAGTACACAGCTGAAGAAGCTGATTTCATGACTCAGTTTCTTGGTGGAAACTATTCATGTTTTCTTTCAAATGTTGCAAATGATAATTTTATGTGTTTCTCCCAAGGGAGTAGCTCAAGCACTGATCATAGTGATAATATCTTTCCTACCATCACACCGAGTAATGGACCATACTTGTGTGATCCGGCAACAGACATTGATTCATTGTCCATGTTTTTTAGTCCACAATATTTGGATGATAACTTAATCAAACAGGTATATTATGAAAGCATTGGTGAAGGGTCAGGTTTAGATCATGCTCCTGACAGCAATTTGCAAGCTAAGAGGGAGCATGGAATGATGTTTGTTTCTGAATCTCCTTCGGGAGAGGATAGAACCAAAAACATGGAGAATCCTGCAAAGAGATTTAGGAGCTCGGATGCTTCGATGGAGCTAAATGATGGAACATGTCCAAGTATAATCCCAAAAGAACATGAAGCGTCGAACGCAAATTTATGTAGAAAATCAAGAGCGAGAAATGGTCCTGCTACTGATTCTCAAAGCATTTATGCAAGAGTAAGTCCTCTTTGAAATTTATTTCTTTACTGCGCATTTCAATTCGCAAATAACTAATAGTCCATCTTTTGTTGTGTAGAGGAGAAGAGAAAGAATTAATGAAAGATTGAGAATCTTGCAGACCCTTGTCCCAAATGGAACTAAGGTGGACATTAGCACCATGCTTGAGGAAGCTGTTCAATATGTCAAGTTTTTGCAGCTTCAAATTAAGGTTAGCAACATTTTCATAACCTTCCCATTTTCAATTTCTTACATGTAAAAAGGTAAAGTCTAATTCATTTTTGTTTATTTATTTGGATGAAATGAAACAGGTTCTGAGTTCTGATGATATGTGGATGTATGCTCCCATAGCTTACAATGGAATCAACATTGGATAGGACCTCACATTTTCTTCACCAACTAATTAAATGAAGATGTGATCATCATAACATAACAATTCAAGAGGATATAGCATTTCTTGTTTGTGATCATGATATTTAGTTTTTTTTTTTTTTTTGTGATATGGACATTCAATTTAGACTTCCCTATTTGACTTCTAAACTAGGTCAAATCATCTAGTATTGTTGTAGAGTTAAATGATTGACAAATGAAATGTTAATCTATTAAAGATGACAAAACCAAAAAGATGTTTTAGTAATTAAAGTCAAACATCATATATTATTCAATATCAAAATAAATATAGTAATTGGTGCATTAATTGACTTGCTTTACATTTGGTAAGGAGGTTTATGACCAAGCCACCTTTATGCCTATCAATATGCACTATTTTAATTTATTTTAATTGATGTTAATGGAATAGATACTTTAATTGAGAGACAAAATTAATTGATTCTCTTCCATTTTAAGAAAAAACAAATTCTATTTGATAAATTTGAGATACTAAATTGCTCTATAATTATACAATTTTAATAATATCTTTTCCTATAAGTTTAGTTAAATTGCTTTTTTGATATCTCGTTAAGTTCTGGGTTTGCCTGGTAATTATAGAAAGTTTATTGAACGCTTTTTGAAGTTAGCTTTGTTTTTGAATCAATTGACTCGGAAAGATCAAGCATATGTGTGAGATGTTCAGTGCGAAGAGAATTTTCAAGAACTCAAAAGGAATTTAATGTCCATGCTATTTTGGATTTTGCTGAGTCCAAGTGAATCATTTTTGGTTTATTGCAATGCTTCGAAGATGGGTTTAGGTAGTGTGCTTATGCAAAATCGTCAAGTGGTAGTTTATGCTTCAAGACAGCTGAAGGTTCATGAGAGGAATAACCCGACCCATGATTTAGAGTAGACATTTGTGGTTTGTGTGCTTAAAATTTAGAGACATTATCTGTTTAGCTCTAGATTTGAAATGTTCAGCGATCATAAGAGGTTGAAGTATTTATTCGATCAGAAATAACTAAATATGAAGCATATGATATGACTCTAATTTTTGAAGGATTATGATTTTGATTTGAGTTATCATCCTAGTGAGGCTAATGTGGTAGCAGATGCGCTGAGTCGGAAGTCTTTGCTTGTGTCGACGCTGATGGTTAGAGAATTTGATTTGATCGAACTATTTCGAGACCTTAGTTTGGTGTTTGAAATTACTCTTGACAGTGTGAGGTTGGGTATGTTGAAGCTAACTAGTGGTATTCTTGAAGAGATCAGAGAAAGTTAGAAACTTGACTTGGGATTAATTAATTGGTTGGTACTGATTAATCAAGGTAAATAGGTGGATTTCTGAATTGATGAGAATGGTATTATGAGATTCAGAGATAGGGTATGTGTACTAGATGTTTCAGAACTTAAGAAGAGTATTCTTGAAGATGGTTATAAGAGTGGTTTGAGCATTCATCCCGGTGCTACCAAGATGTACCAAAATCTTAAGAACACATTTTGGCGGCTAGGTATGAAGAAGGACGTTATTGAATTGGTTTACTCTTGTTTGACTTGTCAGAAGTCGAAGATTGAGCATCATAAGTCATCAGCATTGATGCAACCGTTGAGTATTCCTGAGTGGAAGGGGGATAATATTTCTATGCATTTTGTGATGAGTTTGCCTAAGACTTCTAAAGGAAGTGATATGATTTAGGTTGTGGTGGATACACCGACTAAATAGGCTTGTTTCATTCTGATAAAACTTGACTATGCTTTGCAGAAGCTAACTGAGGTTTATATCGAGAAAAATATCAGTTTGCATGGTATTCCTTCGAGTATTGTATCATATGGAGATCTGAGGTTCACATCAAGGTTCTGGGAGAGTTTGCAGGAAGCCTTGGGAACCATGTTGTGGCTGAGTTCTACTTATCATCCGTAGATGGACGATTAGACAAAGAGGACCATCCAGTTTTTAGAGGATTTTCTAAAAGCTTACATGTTGGAGCAAAGAGGTAATTGGGATAGCTAATTTTCGTTGATTGAGTTTACTTATAACAAAAGTTTTTATTCTAGTATTGGAATTGCATAGTTTGAGGATTTGTATGGTAAAAGATGTATGACACCTTTGTGTTAGTATGATTTTGGTAAAAGTGTTGTACTTGGACCATAAGTTGTTCAACGGACTACTGAAAAGATCAAGATGATTCAGGAGAAGATGAAATCTTCGCAGAGCAGGTAGAAGAATTATCATGATAAGAGGAGGAAAACACTTGAATCCTTAGAGGGAAATCATGTATTCTAAAGAGTCACTCCAGTGATTGGTGTTGGTCGTGCGTTTAAATCTCGAAAGCGCACACCACGTTTTATTGGTCCTTATCATATTTTCAAGAGATTAAGAGGCGTGGCCTACAATGTTGCTTTACCACCATCTCTTTTGAATCTTCATAGTGTATTCCATGTGTCTCAGCTTCGGAAGTATGTTCCAGATCCGTCTCATGTGATTCAAATGGATGATGTGCAAGTGAGAAATAACTTTATGATCGAGGCATCACCATTGCGAATTGATGATCAGAAAGTGAAGCACTTGAAAGGTAAATATATCGTCTTGGTGAAGCTCCTATGGAGAGGACCTGCTGGAGGGAGTGTGACATGGGAACTAGAGAGTCAGATGGGGGAGTCTACTTTGAAGAATTTTCATTCAGGTAATTTTTTTGGGAGAAAATCCTATAAGTGGAAGAGAGTTGTAATACACCGAATTCAATTAACTTATTTAATTGAACTTTTGTCATTTTTATTTAATTAATTAAATGATTTAATACGCTTTTAATCATTTAATTGGTGATAATATGTGTTATGTGGTGTTTGAGGATTATTAGAATTTTAATTAGTTATATAATTAAAATAGTAGATATTTATCAAATACATACAAAAATAAGAGAAATAGTGATATTGGGGCAAAATTAGAATTATTAGAAAACTAAGGGAAAAAGGAAAGAGTAAAGATTAGTGGAGGGGTAAAAATGTAAATAAGGAAATTAATTGTTATTCAAGTCAACATAAATAGTAAAGGGAGAGGGGAGCCAATTTCATTGATACGTAAAAGTTGCAAAAGTGGGAAAAATAGGCAGAGTGAGAAGAGAAGAAAAAAAGGCTTGAGGGAGAAGAAAATCGCAATAGCTAGAGTTTGAGGATTGCTGGAAATTCAGGTAAGGGGGGCTACTTGAGCATAGGTTTATTGCATGAAGGGTAGAGAGTGATCCTCACCATTCTCTAGGTTTTTCTCCTAATGTTGTGTTATATGAGTTTTGATGATGATTGTGTGATCATACATGTTAATTTCCATGCTTAATTTGTGAACTCATGCCTCTCTCATATGCTGAACAATATGTTTAATTGTGTGTATGAATTTTGAATGTGGTTGTTTCCGTCTATATGCTTTGGTGTTATGAGCACAAACTTGAATTTGGGATTAATTTATGAAATTGAATGATAATCGATGAGTATGTGATGATTTAATCCCTGTATCATATGTATCTATTATTTTATGTGCAAATTGGGGTACTGGGGATCGAAATCAGAGCTTTGAATGAACTCCCATGGTCAAAATGCAGAAAACTACATTCTGCAACAGCGTGACGAGCGTCACGAGCATGACGGGCTGTCCGCCATGCTTTTGGGATAGCTAACGGTCGTTAGCAGTGTGACGAGGAGACCTTCATGGTCTCTAGGCAAGAATACTTCTTCTTGCCATCACATAGATGAAGGATTATGTAAGACAGATGGTGACGGGCTGGGTGATGGTTGTCACCCAGATGCCGAACTGGTCGTCATGGTTGCAAACGAGCGTTTTCGAGCGCGTATTCCAGTTTTTTATGTTGTTTTCTTGTGTGGTCAATGTTTGACTGTTGTTTTCGGGTAATTAGTTTATGTAATTAATTAAGGTGAATTATTCTTATGGTGAAATTATAATTGGATTAATTTGCATAATTATATCTGATGAATTATGATTATGTTTATGAGTCGTTGCGTTGTGAATACAATTATATGTTTTGAATGTAATCCTTTGTGTTATGTTGATGTGTGTAGTTCAGAAGTGGGGATTACTTTGAATGTTATATTGCATTGCTGATTATGGTTAGAAGTGGAACCATAATTTTTGTTGTTGCATTTTTGTATGACATGCATTATGTTGTGTCGATGTGTTGAAAGAAATGATTCATAGGTTCAGAAGTGGGGAGCTGTGATTGTTCGGGGTTCAGAAGTGGAGGCCCAGGGTTCAGAAGTGGGGACCCAGCTCAAATGAGAAACCATTGTTAAATGGATGAGATCAATAAGAAACCTCTGATGACCAAATTGGTACCACATGCATAGATTCGAGTCGTGAGTCACATTACATACATAAAGGCTATGTGAATTAGATTGTTATGGTGATATATAATGGAATGTGTGTTGTTGATTTTATGCTTTGATCTATCCTTGCATTATTTTACACTGTAAATATATGCGACTGTATTCTTACCACTTTCTTGTTTGTTTTGTGTTGCTCTATACATTGTTGTACATGTAATCAAGAGGAGTAAGTGTTGTCGTGAGTTGAAAGATGGCCTTGGAGTTTTTCTTATTTTATTTTATTGTTTTATCGATAGTTAGTTGGTTTATATGCTCTGGTCTATAACATCGGAAACAATGTGTATTATTTGTTTTGAGTTAATTTTTGAATTATGTTACTTTAATTAAGTATTTCCAATCTGATGAGATAATTAAAGTTATGTTATTTATTTGAGTTTCGCTGCGAGTTTTGACTATATTTGTAAAATATGCATGTTATGTTTAAGCAGCATCCTAAAATGTGAATATTATCCTTTTAATTGTGAGTCGGGGCTTTAGAGTGTTTTATAGACTATGGTGAAACTCTTTCACCAATTACAATGCTTAAATTTTACCTGTTATTGTTGCACATCATGATTTTGAAATATGGAAGATGGATCTACAGAATGATTTCCTTAATGGTAATATTCTTGAAGAT